TGCAGTCAGCTGGTTTTCATGGACTGCAGAAGTCTAGTTTTGTTCAGCTTCACAAACGGAAATAAAGTATTTCTTTTAATGATTTTAATTTGTTGCCATCCATTATTTTTAAATGGCTACATATGTGTACACATTGCTCTCCTCCTCTAATTCCCCATAAAATAAGTGTTTAAATGGTTTTTGGCAAGTAAACAAGACAATGTTGAAGGGTGATTAAATGGCTCATTAATGTAATGAATATCTCTTTTTTTTTTACGCCATCCATTCAGTCATGTAAACCAGGAATTAATAGGTATTTAGCAATCGTTTTTCATCTGCTGATTTTTTTTTAGCTTGTTCCCTGGAATTACTGGATCATATTCATTTTTAATGAAACAACTGACCAGATATAGTAGAATTTTACATTTTACTTTAAATAGTATTTTATTTTTTCTCACAATTACATATCAAAAAAATTTTTAGCATTCATTTTTACAAGATTTTGAGTTCCAAATTTTTCTCCCTCCCTCCCCCCTTTCTGAAAATGGCAGGCAGTTTGATATAGTTTATACATATGCTATTAGAATTTTACATTTTAACCAGTGATTTCTTGAAACTAGTAGAACAGATCTGAACAAGCACAATTAATTTTAAAAATTTTACCTATCTTATGGGTTCATATGATTCTTTAGTGATTTTTCATAAAATTTATGTTTTATGTTGGTTCTCTTTTAGAAAACATATTCTGTACCACAACTCCATGGCATGAAATTTCTCCATTATTTCTAATTCATTTTGCAGTCAAAATATAAATGTCTATATGTGATTCTAAACCCTTGAATAACCTTCATTTCTGATTTAGTGTGCAACCTGACTTAGGTAAAATGTACACAACCCAGATCTTTAAGATTTTACCTTTGCCTTAAATGTAAAGGTATGAAAACAATGAACATGGATGTTTGAGGGAAAAGGTTTCTCTCTTTAAGTTTGGTAATAGTCTTCTAAATGCAGGTGAATTTCATCTTCTAGTCGATTTCTCTTGAAATTTTTCCCAGTGTGGTACTTCTGGGATTCAATTTCCTCAACTATAAAACAAGAGAGTCTGGATTGGAGGATTTCTGAAACCACTTCTAGCTCTAAATCTGTGATGCTGAGCTCACAGTAATTGAATTCTATTGGTAAAGAAAGAAATGGATCCAGCCATCTGTTCCAGGGAACCTGTGTCCTCCCAACAAAATTTGCAGCATAAATATGCAATTAGATGAATGTTGTGAGTTTTTAAAATCATATCAGTCAATGAATCATAATTCATTTTCTGTGGATCTTCACATCTGACAAATTTAAGGGTCTTTTGAAGACTCAAGTTTTCTTTTCAGTTTTCACTCTACTCCTACAGAGGCAATGTGCCTGGACTAGAAACTGGAAAGGACAATGGAAATGGACAATGAAAAGGGCCCTGACATGGGCATCTCCCTGTCCTAGTTTTTTTCAAATCCAAGCTGTGCAAGCATAGGCAAGTTAATTCATCAGTTTCTTCATCTGAAAAATGAATGGGTTGGTCACTAGATGCTTTTAGACAGCTAGGTGGTGAGATCTGGAGTCAGGAAGACCTGAGTTCAAATCCAGCCTCAGATACTTATTAACTGTGTGACACTGGGTAAGTCATAACCTCTGTCTTCTTCATCTGTAAAATGGGAATGATAACAGTTGTCCTGAGGATAAAATGACACAATATCTGTAAAGGACTTTGAAAACCTTAAAGCACTATTATTATCTAAGGTCTCTTCTAGTTCTAAATGCTATTATGCTACTCAACCTATTCCCATGGAATAAAAAACGTGTGTGTGTGTGTGTGTGTATATATATATATATATATATATCACAGTAAACTATTAAGTGAGGTAATTCATTAATATTTGAAAAAGAGTGTACATTATAGTCATGTGTCTTATCTAATACTGCTACCCTGGCCCTCATTGTCTGAAGGTCAGGTATGTATCCTCTCCCAGGATTCTCTAGGGGTTTGGGATGTCCAGGCTTTCTGCAAACAGCTCCAGCCCCCACAACGCTGTTTGTCCAATTGCAGGGGATGGTCCCCTGCACCCCAGTTGCAATTACCCACTAAACAGTTGGATTAACTTTTACAAAAGAACATTTACTTCAAAAAGCATAATCATAAATATAAAAAGTTACTCCTCCCCAATTTGGGGTTTTCTTGCCAATGATGGCATGGTTTGCTATTTCTTTCTCTAGGTCATTTAACAGATGAGGAAACTGAGGCAAGCAGAGTTGCTCATGGTCATACAGGTAGTAAGTGTCTGAGGCTGCATTTGGACTCAGGAAAAGGAGTCTTCCTGACTTCAGGCCCAACATTCTATCCATTGTACCACTCAGCTGCCACAAAGAATGCCATGCTGCACATTAAATGAAATTGATAATTAAAAAGACAAGCTGGGGTGAGGGGGGAGGCAGGGAGATGGAAGGGATTTTACAAAGTTGTTTATATACATTACTCTTACATAGATCTTGTTATGTTAAAATTAATAAACAGGTAAAATTAAATAGCTTCCAATCCTCTAGAATTGTATTCATTCAGTCAGACTATAGTGTCAATAAATTGCAAGAGAATGAGCTAAGTACTAAGGGAAATATTAAACACATTTCCTGCCCTCAGGAAGGTCCAATTTAGGAAGGATGAGAATCACCCAGGTAACTATAATACAAGGCAGACTATAATAAATCCCATAAAAGAGCTATAAGCTAAGTTCAATAAGGATTCAGAGGAGAGAGATAGCACATTTATTCAGAGGCTTGGAGAAAACTCCATAAAGTTGATTCCCTGAAGAATGGATAGGATTTCAGTAGACAAGATAGGAAATGGGAAAAGAGAAGGGCCCCCCAGGCAAAGGGGAAAATGAGCAAAAGGTACAACAGCAGAAAAACACAGGACCTTTTTAGGAAACAAGAAGTCTAATTTGGTTGTGGCCAAACAGTGACTGTTTATAAAGAAATCATGGTAGAAAATAGGAATAATAGGTGAGGCTCTCACATGTCAGGCTCTGAATACCAGACTAGGAGTTTGGACTTAATTTAGTAAACCACAGGGAGTCACTAGTGATTTTTGAGCAGGAGAGGAAGTTAATCACAACTGTATTTTAAGATTCCCCCAGCAGCGGTACATATGAGAGATTGAGAGAGAAAAAGACCAGGGCTCAGGAGACTAGATAGGAAGCTAATGTAATAGTCTAGATGAGACACAATAGGAACCCTGAATTCAAATTCTGACAGAATTCGAAAGATACCCCAGTGGTAGAATGAACAATACTTGAAAACTGATTAGATGTGGAAGAAAGTGGATATGAGGAAGTCCACAATGACATACAGATTTCAAGCCTGCGAAACTTAGAGAGTGGAGTGCCATTAACAAATGTAGGGAACTCAGGAATGCACAAAACTTTTTTATTGTTATTTAATAAGTTTTAGATATCTACTAGAGGCAATGAGATGGAGTGGCTGAAAAGCCTATCCCCCACTAAAGAAGAACTGGTTTCAAGTCCTGTCTCTGCCACATACAAGCTGTGTGAATCTGGGCAGGACACTTAACCTCTCACTGCCCCTATCAACTCTCTTAAGACCATAAGGTGCAGAGTTTGTGCCAAAGACCTTCATTGGTAGAAGGACTTTCCTCTTGGGTAATTCCTTATACCAATGAAATCACAAGTTGAATTCCTCACTCAAGGTAAGGCACACCAGTAATGAATAGGAGATCAGCAATCTTCTCTCCTTCTGTCCGGAAACAGCACTGTACAATACAGCACTGGGATGTCATTAAGAATAAGTATTCAATGTACTTAAAGCACATGCATACTTAATATATTTTGTATATTGTCTGGCACCTCCATCTCCTAAAGCCTTCCTTTGATGCAGCAGTGAGGGGATTAAGGGGAATCCAAGTGCTTGAAGACCATGTTAGGAGAGCAAGCCATGGCAGATCCCAAAGAGGCATTGAGTATGAGACTACATAGCCATCATCCAAGACCCAGCCCAGCTACATTCAGAGGGCTCATTATTATCAGCCACAGAAGGATGAACTGTTTGACCCTGGAAACTCTTGAAAACCATCTACTATGCTGTGGAGGGGTTGACATCTATATTGGCAGAGAGTATACTCACATCAACAACAATAACAACAACAAAAAACAATTAACATTTATATAGAACCTACTGTGTGCCAGGCACTGTGCTACAAATATCATCTCATTTTATCCTCACAACACCTTCAAAATCACAGATCCCTGAAGTACTGACTGGCATAGCCCCCCATACACTTGTGTGTGGCATGGCATCCTCTGCCAAGCCTCAGAGGCCACTTCTTCCTTGATATTTCTTTGATTTCTCCCAATCCCAAATGATGTTTCCTTCTTCAGAACTCTCATGACACTATAGCTGGCTCTCTTTTACAGACTTACAGTGCTATCTTTTGTTTGATAGCTATTTGTATACACCCATCTCCTCTTTTATACACTTAGTACCTTTTTTTTTTTTGGCTAGGCAGTGGGGTTAAGTGACTTGCCCAGGGTCATACAGCTGGTAAGTGTCAAGTGTCTGGTCTGAGACCGGATTTGAACTCAGGTCCTCCTGACTCCAGGACCAGTGCTCTATCCAATGCACCACCTAGCTGCACCACTTAGTACCTTTAGGACAAAAAAAATATAACTTATTTAGTTTTGTTTCTCTACTATTGCCTCACTCGGTGTATATTTTATAAATGTTTATCAAATATCATTTGTTGAGTAGCCAACCTGAATATTTAAGTTAGGGGGAAAAATTATCTTGAGGCCCCAACATTTTGTTGAGTAGCCAACCTGAGTATTCAAGTTAGGGGGAAAAATTATATTGAGGCCCCAGCTGACTGCCCAAATTAGCCAGGTAATTACTTTCTCTTCTGTTGTTTAGTGGGAATATAAAAATCATGGTCCCAGTCCCTGATTTCATTTTGATACATGGTACTTTATCCACAGCTCAAGAAGTCACAGATCACTAGCATTTGCAGACCAGCCTGGGATCTGTCACTATGGCCCTAAATTTGAATGTTGCTATGGATGGAAAAAGAACAACAAAGGACTCTGTGAAGGTAATTCTGTGGATACATCCCTCCTCAATTATCATAGAAGTCTATATAAGAAGCAATAAGGGCCCTGAACTCAAATCGTGGCAGGGTTCAAGAGATACTCCAGTGGTAGAATAAGCAATTCTTATCTTTGGGGGGTTTTTTGGGGGGAGGGGTTAGGCAATAGGGTTAAGTGACTTGCCCAGGGTCACACAGCTAGTAAGTGTTATGTGTCTGAGGGCAGATTTGAACTCAAGTCCTCCTGACTCCAGGGCCAGTGCTCTATCCACTGAGCCACCTAGCTGCCCCTGAATGAACAACTCCTGATAATTGATTAGGTATAGAAGAAAAGGGATATGAGCGGGATCAAAGATGACCCAAATATTTTGAGCCTGGGCAACTGATGGCATCAGTTGGTAAAGAATGTTGGTCAGCAGGATTCCTAGATGTAGAATCTGACTCACTGAAAATCCAGAGGGGTTAGCCTTCTAATCTAGCTAGCACAGTGGAAAGGACACTGAGGCCAAAATTGAAAGACCTAATTTCAAATCCTGCCTCAGCTATTTAATAAATATGTGACCCTGAGCAAAGTATTTATCTTCTCTTGGCCTCAGTTTCCTCTTCTCTAAGTAAGAAGGTTGGAATCAGTGGCTTCTGAGTCTCCTTCTGCCTATGATTTGAGGATAATTTATGAAATGTGCAAAAATGTCAGGAAAAGTGCCCTGTGTGGTCTCTTTCTCTCTAAAATTTGACAAAATACAATTAACCTAAAAAGGTGACTCTCAGACATGGCCTTTCTCAGTCTTTCCCAGCTCCTCTTAATTCTAGTGCCTTCCCTCTGCTAATCATTTCTGATGTATCTTATATATAGCTTGTTTGTATATATTTGTTTGGGCAATTAGGTGGCACAGTAGATAGAGTATTAGGTCTAGAGTCAGGAGGACCTGAATTCAAATGTGACCTCAAACACCAGCTGTATGGCTCTGAGCCTCAGTTTCCTCAACTGTAAAATGAGCTGGAAAAGGAAATAGCAAACCACTCCAATATCTTCCCCAAGAAAATCCCAAATGGGGTCACAAAGAGTGAAAAAATAGCTGAACAACATTTGTTATATTCTTAGTTAGGTTGTGAACTCTTTGAAGGGCTGAGACTGTCTTTTGTCTCTTTTTTGCATCTGAAACACTTAGCACAGTGTTTAACACATAGTAGGTGCTTAATAAATGGTGACTGATTGATTTCTGTTCTTTCACCTCAGTAAGTATATTGAGTTTTACTTGAAAGATGAAGCATAACATTTAACCCTTGGCCCAGATAGGTCAACATCTCCTAACTGTGGACCCTCTCCAATATTAATATCCTTATCCCATGTCAAGGATGATCTCACTAATAAACTCAAGTCTGTTGAAAGTGACTCTTGGAGCTCTATATACAATGGAATGGGTCCCTAGATTATAAATAATCCAGGCAGTGGATTTATATCACAAAGAAAAAAACAAATATTTTATCCTCATACTTTGATCATTAAATATTTTACATTTAATAATGTCAATTTTTCAAGTGGACTTGAAGGAAGAATTACATATTTTAAATTATTTTCACAATTCTATCAAGTAAAATATAAGCTAAGTATTATAAATTTATTTTAGAAAGTGTTTATCACTATGGGTTGGGAATTCTTATCTAAAAGTTTCAGAGAAATTGTTGATAATAGAACAAGGCTCTATGAACATAACATTTTTAGCCATCAATTACCATATTTTTTTTCTACTGTGTCTTACTCTCCCCTCAAAAAACTCCTTCATGAGAGTATCCTTTTCTCAGTACACCTCCCCCCAAATCATTGTTTTGAAGCTGGAAGGGATCTAGTCTAATCCCATCATTTTACAGATGAAAAAACTGAGGTCCAGAAAGGCCAAGTTCCTTGTCCATAGTCATATGGACAAGTTAGTAACAGAGTCATAATCTAGTGCTCCACATTACCTCCCTGCCTAGGCCAAACTTTGCTAGATACAGAGTTCAGGTCAAACCAAGTATTTCTGAAATAGACCCAGCAATGAGGGAAAAAATAATAGAAAAGGTACTGGCCATAGAATCAAGTCAGACCTGGATTTATTCACTATCTGATCTTCAGATTTTAATTTTCCTGAACCTCAATTTCCTCAACTGTAAAATGGAAATAATGATAAATGCATGGCCAGAATTTTGTTAGAGAAGGGGTACATAACAATAAAGCTATGTAAATCTGAGTTATTATTATTGATATTCAAATAAATAGTAAGTAAAATCTTCCACTATTCCTTTTTTTGTGGTAGAATATTCGGGACACAAAGGATCATGAGATTTTGAAATATTCATGATATCATGAGTATTTCATATTTTGAAATTTGAAGATTTGAAATTAGAGATAGGTAGATAGACAGATAAATGATAGATAGATAGGTGTAGGCAGATATAGATAGATGATTGATAGAAACAGGTGATAGAAAGATAGATAGATAGATAGATAGATTGACAGACAGATACACATTTGTTAAGTACTAACTATGTTCCAGACACTGTGATAAGTGCTAGGAATACAAACACAAACAGTCCCACCCTAAAGGAGATTAAATTCTAATGTGGGAAGCTAGAACATGGGGAAGGGTATGGCACAGAGATGACAGGGAAGTATGGTAGAATCTGAATCTGGGCAATATAAGGCAACTGTTCTTCAGTCAGAGTCCAGGTTGATTGGTTCCAAAGGTATTGAAAGGTTACTGTGTAAACTGTGGAATTGATGGCCCAGGTGGAGAAAGATTAACATAGAGATGTACCAAATGATACCATTGTCACTGGAAAAATGTAACCATCAGATTGATGGTAACCTTCTGTAAATACCATTTGACTTGACTTTAGAAGGGACTTAGAAACTCTCAAGTCTCAAGACAGAGAATGATGGTGAAACCACTGTGAGATTTAGTTGCAAGATGTAGGATTTTTTGTCTTCCTAGTTACTAAAGTGAAAAACATGTATTTCAAATCATGTGGTAATTTTTTTAGGCAGAAGGATAATGTAAGGCACATACTTTAGAATCTCTCAAAGTAGCAATCATAGTTTCTAAAATTATACAGACTGTAGAAGCTACTCTGATGAATCACCTAGGGCAATGTTTAAGCCAAGCTGATCAAGCTAGGGTCCTCAATCTTTTTTTGTTTCATGGACCCCTTTGGCCATCAGATGAAACTTAGGAACTCCTTCTCAGAATAGTGTTTCATTTAGAATAAAATAAAATGCTTTATGCATAATGTATAAATTGACTAAATGAATAAAATTAAATGCATAAATGAATAAAATGCACAAAATTAAATGCATGAAAGGTATAAAATAAAATGCACAGAGTTACAAAGGAAACTAATTATATTGAAATGCAGTTATCAAAATATTTTTAAAATGAGTTCATAGTCCTCAGGTTAAGAACCCCTGCTATAAAGGGAAGCAGGACTTGGCTTTTTTGCAAGAGCTCGTTTGTAGTTGGAGGGGCACAGATATGATGTGTTAAATATATCTTGCATTTTTTGCTAATAATCGAATACCATAAATACAAAAAAAAGATTATACATAAGGTAAAAAAAAATCAAGATCAAGGTGAAGTTAGAGGTGAAAGTAAAAGATAAATATTTGGTATCTTCATCAGAAGGGATCCTGAACCTCCCAGCCCAATTTGATTCTAATTTGCAAATGTATTTCATGGAATTCACCCTTTGAAACATCTTTTGCTCAATTTTCATGTTTGATTTTGACCATAAAATAATACGTTCGCCAAGCCACCAAATAATAGGGTGAATACCTGATTGCTGAATTCCTTATTTCTAAGCCTGCTTATAGTCTGCGAGGCAAGACCCAAGTCAAAGCAAACCCAGTCAAAGATAAGCCCCCAACTATTCCTCTGATTACCTCTCCTTCAGGCTTCTATTTACCTCTAAGTGTATTTCTGTCACTGTTTTCAAACTCTGTTTTTATTAAATATTAGGAAAAATTCCTATGTGGAAGAAAAAAGCATTTATTAAGTATCTACTATGTGTCAGGCACCATGCTAAGCACTTCACAAATATTATTTCATTTGATACTCACAACAATCTTGGGAAGGAGGTCCTATTATTATAGAGTTGGAAAATTGTTGTTTTTCAGTCATGTCCCATTCTTTCATGACCCCATTTGGGGTTTTCTTGGCAGAGATACTGGAGGGGTTTGCCATTTCCTTCTCCAGCTCATTTTACAGGTGAGGAAACTGAGACAAACAGGGTTCAGCGACTTGCCCAGGGTCACACAGGTAATAAGTCTCTGAAGTCATATTTGAACTCAGGCCATTCTTACTCCAGGCCTGGAGCTCTATCCACTGTACCACTTAACTGCCCTGACAGTTGAAGAAACTGAGGTTGGGGCCAGCTAGATGGCACAATGGATAGAGCACTAGCCCTGGAGTCAGGAGGACCTGAGTTCAAATCCAGATTCAGACCAGACACTTGACACTTACTAGCTGTGTGTGACCCTGGGCAAGTCACCTAACCCCATTGCCTAGCCAGAAGAAGAAGAAGAAGAAACTGAGGTTAATTGACTTGTATAGGATTACACAACTAGTAAGTATCTGAGGCCATATTTGAATTTAAGTCTTTTTGATTCCAGTCTCAGCACTCAGTCCACACCCAAGCCACCTGACTGCCTCACAATAATTCAACTCATTAACATTCAACCTAAAGTGCTGGCTCTCTCAAATGTATTTGGGGATAATTTGGTTGGGCAAAAGGAATGAACTTACTAGCTGTGTGACCCTAAGCAAGTCACTTAACTCTGTTTGCCTCAGTATCCTCATCTGTAAAATGAGATGGAAAAGGAATTGGCAAACCACTCCAGTGTCTTTGCCAAGGAAACCCCAAAAAGGGTTATGAAGAGTCAGACACCACATAACTAAAAACAACTAAACAACAAAACATGTTATTAAATACTAAAAGTTCATCTGTTAGTAGGTATTTCTAAAACTCTGTCCATCTCTAATATTCCATGGTTCTGTAAGAAGACATTATAAGGAGGACAGTGATCAGTTGTTTGACTATTTATAATAAGAAAAAATAAGGGAAGGTTGGACTGGTTTTTTTTTTTTAATCAGAAAAGATTTGTTATGTTTATGCCATGGCAGCAGCATTCTTAAGCAAAGCTAAAATAATAAACCAGCATTCATTTGTGGGGGAAATAATGAATCTAGTAAGTAAATGAACGTTCTTCAGCTTCCTGACCCCCAGCAGGTGGATAATAGATAGCAGACCTCAAAGACAGCACACTAACCCCATTATTGGCCCCAAGTATGTTGTATGCTAGAATATGGATGTGTTCAAGAAGTCAGAGTTCCATTGCAGTGTCTTCTCCTGTTGTTGGATCTTCAAAATGTCTTAAACATGTCTTTTTTCTTTTGCTCTACAGCCATTTGTGACCATGGGTGCAAGTACGGTGAATGTGTGGGGCCGAATAAATGCAAATGTTTTCCTGGATTTACAGGGAAAACTTGCAATCAAGGTCTGTATGATGTTCTACAGCTAAGTTCCCTAAGGTCCCACAGAGTCTGGTTTCTCAATTAATACTTTTTTCCTGCTAGATTATGTTGCCTTTTATAAGTATGGATCCATCGGAATGGTTATCATTTAATTCATAAGAGCTACCTGTCATCCATTTTCATAGAATCACTGACTCAGAGCTGGAAGAGATTTAAAAATAATTAAGTCCAACCCCATCATTTTAGAGATGATAATAATAATAATAATAGGCATCATATGGCATTTTAAGGTTTGCTAAGTGTTTTTCAAATATCTCAGTTTGCCCTCCCAACAACCCTGGAAAGTAGGTGATATTACCCCCATTTTACAGATGAGGAAACTGAGGCAGATAGGTTACGAGACCTGCCCAGGGTCACCAGCTAGGAAGTGCCCAAGGCCAGATTTGAACTCAGATCTTCCTGACTCCAGGTGCAACACTCCATCTGTCCACTGCACCACCCAGCTACCTAGATGAGGAAACTGAAGCCCAGAAAGGTTAGTAATGATTCATCCCCAACCATACACATAGTACATAGGAAAAGTTGGATTTGAACCCAGGTCTCCTAATTTCAAATCCAAAGCTCTTTCCGTAATGCTGTTCTGGCTTGCATGCTTAGTGAGACTGTTCAATGCAATTGACTACTTCTGACTATGGTACTATTTGTGGAAGATGATAATATTTTCCACCCAGTTGCCATAGTCAAAGATTGTGGGGGCTGTACCACCATGTTCTCGAAAGCCTTATTAGAGTAGCATGTTTGGTTAAAAAAAAAACAAAACATAGGGCACACAATTCAGCAAATGCCTGAAAAGTAATTGGGCTCTGAGAACCAATATCCACCTGGGGCCCCATTTTGCTCATGGATGAGAACAACAGGATTCATAATATGGAATGATCACAGAGTCAGAAGGGACTTAGAGGCCAAGCACAACCCCCTCATTTTACAGAGGGGGAATAGGGAGGTTAATTGACTTGCCCAGGATCACATAGCTAGTAATTTTCTGAAGCAGGATTTGAACCTTTGTTCTTATGGCTCCTAGTCCAGAGTTCTATCCACTATTCCACACTCCCTCAGTTAAGAGGCATTGGTGAAATTCTAGTTAAGGGATACATACTCATTCCTTGCTGTTATAAATGGCCTGGTCTTTCCTGTCACTTAATTGAGGGTACTTCTATACAGCTATCTCAAACAGTCCTGTAAGCCTAAGATAAACTGAGTTGCTGCCAATAGTCTGGTCTCTCTTGGTTGAGATACTTTAGTCCCTAAGGGAATGCTAGGAAATATATTCTTTTTGGAGGGACATAGGCTGAGAATATTGTTCTCATGAATAATAACAGATATATCCTTCACCGATCAGTGGGTTTCATACCATGAAAACCTGTTTTTCTATGAATTTTTCTCTCTGTACCAAGACTCCTTATCAAGGGATTTGAAACAAATGTTTCTTTTCTTGGTCTTTTTCAAGTTCTAGTAAAATATTAATGTTTGTGGGAGTTAGAAGCCTGGGAAGAGAAAGTGCCCCAATTTTCTCAAATTTCAGGGCAATCTATCTTTTCTGAAGAGTCTTTCTTACTTAAGTAACTCTGGCTCCAGTTCACAGATATACATTAACAGCGACAGGCCCCAGCATGCCAACTGATGTGTTTCCCACAAAACTCCATCCAAGAGTCCCAGTCAGCTCTACGTTGGAGCTGTGTGATGTGATGTCTGTCTTCCAGTTTCCCATTATGTCCAACCATTGGTTTGTCACTCCCCCTATTTATGCACAGGATTGATGAGGGAGAATGGCTAGTAGGGAAGCAGGGAGGTTTCCATTAAAGTGAAATCTAGCCAGGCAAAAGAATGGAAAATTACTCTAAAGAGAGTTCCATATCTATATTATATTATAGTTTATACCATGTTATGGTATACTGTAGTCTTATTGTTACATTATTTCTTATTATAATTAGTCAACAAATATTTAATAAATGCCTCCTGATGTGGTACGTGTTGGGGATAAAGATAAAAGTAAAACAGTTCTTTCTCTCAGGTACCTTCCATTCAAACAAGAGAGAAAATTGATCTACTTAATTATATATCAAACAAACACATAAATACAAAATTATTTGGGAGGAAGGCACTAGGAGCCAAGAGGATCCAGAAGGGCCTCAAGAAGAAGATATAATGGCTGAGCTGACTTTGAAGGAAAATAGGGATACTAAAAGATGGAGATGAGGATGTCCCTATCCCTTTACTTTGTTTTGAGTATTTGCTTTAAAAAAGTGGACTCTCTACCCAAATTCCCCCCCAAATCAACTTAGAAAAGCCTGATTTGCAGCCAATTCTGTTTTTGTAGTTAATTATGATAACAATAATATTTTTATTTATGTACTTATTTTAATATTATTATTTTATTTGTCTTTTAATAATAGATTTGATGACATACAATTTATATAATATATTACATAATATATTATGCCATGTATAACATAGTATATAATTTAATGTGTTAATAAGTTACTAATAATACTACATTTTATATTATTGTACTGCATACTATATTATATATTACTATATATAGATATATATATAACACATATGATTTTTTCCCTATTGTTCAATGTCAAAGAATCAAAGCCTAACAATTAAGAAAAGGCTAAGAAAGATCAATTCTAGTTCCATTAACCTGGATGACCTCAAGGTCCCTTTCCAGTTCTATATCTATGATTCTACATGTCCCCAAAAATATGTAAGTCATATTAACAAAGTGCATTCTAGACATGGGGTACAGCCTGTGCAAAGGAGTGTAATTTGTGAGGAACAATGAAAAAGCTAGTTTGCCTGGACTGTGGAGAAGTAGCTCACGTTCATATCATTTTCCTATGGATTCCCTTTAATAGCTAGTCTGCTGAATGTTTATATATGGAGGTTGTTTTGTTTTTCTCTCTCTCTCTGGATTTCTTTGGGGGAGTTTCTGGTTTCAATGAGGTAGCATGGTCACTCCCTTTCCAAAGATAAAGGCATCCTTTTTTTTTTTCCTGAATGATTCCTGCAGATATGAATGAATGTGGACTGAAACCTCGCCCCTGTAAGCACAGATGTATGAACACCCATGGCAGCTACAAGTGCTATTGCCTCAGTGGCTACATGCTGATGCCAGATGGCACCTGTTCCAGTAAGTAACAAAAAGAGCCCACCCAGGTCATTCTCCCCCAAACACAGGAGTGATAACTCTACTTAATTTGATAAGCATCTACTCAGTTCATTGTGTTTTACCAAGTATCAGTGATTGCCATGGTGAGTTAGGTAGGACAGAATTAAGTTTAAGTTGGTTAATGCTGTCAGAATGGGAATTATGTAGGTTAAAATTAATTAACTCATTATGTGTTGATGACTATATTACTTTTATGTGATTTATAAGACAAATTTATACTATATAGATTTAAAGTTTGTTACATGGGCCTGTATTAACCTGTGTTAAAGGATAGAGATAGAAATCTGTTGTACTGCACCCCACCCCACCCCAACCTCCATCCTGTAAGTGTACCCTGGAAGCCGTTGAGTTCCACAGTTTCCACTTTCACTTTGTTCTTTTACACCTGATGCTTGTGGGAAAAGTCCCAGAATTCTGTTGCCTGGTCACTGACTAAATGCTCATGATTGATGACGTGTGGAAAATCTGATGACTAAATCCTAGTGACTGATGGATATTTTCCTTAGCCAATCATATGAATTTTCCCTTTTTGCAATTGACCAACCGAAGAATTGTACCACCTCATTCTATTTTTATCAGTCTCTCAAAAAGTATAAATATTCCCTCAAAATTAAGGAGAGGGATTCATGATTGCAGAGGTGAGGTTTTGGATCCAATTTCTTAGGGTCTACCAGTTTCCAAATAAATTGAAACTTCTTTGAGTGCCTCAGTTTCTCTTTATTGTAGATTGGAATTTTGGGGTAACAAGTCACAGTTTAGAATTTTACCCATGATTCTGGAAAGCTAGTTAGCTTAAAAGACACAGGATTCCAGGTCAAACAAGAGGCACGGAGACTGGAATGCTATCATTGGTTAAAGGGCCAACAGGTTGTGGGAAAGCATGTTTTAATAGTCCTCAGAAAATTTTTTTCAACATGTACTTTTAGTGAGGTGACAAGTGCCTTCCAGGGGCAGAGAATTTCCTATCCTTTACACATCTTACATCTCATCCCACTGAATATTGTAAAGAATTGCCAGAAATACTTTCAGATAAACATTCCTGAGAAGAAAAGCCTTTCTATAACAAAGAAAAACGAGGATCCTGTGAGAGCTTAAGTGTCTGTATAGAAGAGAAAAGGCCTTTCAGGTATTATCTTCCATTAGGAAGAGAAGAGCCCCCACCCTGGGGTCACCAACAGCACCCTCCTCCTCTCACACACTCATTCACATACATTTTCTCCCTTTGCTCCTCTCCTCCTTTCCACCCCCTCTCTCTCAAGTCCCTTTAACACGTACCATTTATGTGCCTTAGAAAAAAAGTAGAGCCAAGGTGACCCTGTTGAGACTATAAACCCTCTGGCATATTCAGCTTTTCACTTGCCCAGTGCTATAATTCCTGTACTTGGACCAGCTACGTAGGATGTTCTCCCTTGTTCTCCTCATTCTCTTCATTGACTAACAGCACAATGCAACAACACTGTGAATCAGCTTAAAGCCCTCAAAATCTACCTTAAGATCATAGATCTGGAATTAGAAGGAATCTCTGAAGCCATCTTATCCAACCTCTCACTTTGCAGATGGGGAAAATGAGGCCCAGGGAGGTTGACTTGCCCAAGATCACATAAGTAGTAAAGCTGCAGAGGTGGATTTGAACCCATGTCCTCTTCTTCAAGATTAAGCAAACAGCAACAAAAGTTATCTGTTAAGGACTGTGTGTGTCAATTAATATTTCCAAAAAACTACTCAGTGCCAAAAATTTTTTTAAATGCAGGAAATTATTTCAGTCTTGATGGCCAGAAATGTTGTACAGTTGTTGTTATTGTTGTTGGGTTTTTTTTAAATATTCAACATGAGACTCTGTTAATTATTTACTATTTATCTGATGTATAGTTGGTGTGTAATATTTAGATTAACAGCTAGATTAGATTAACAGCTCCATAAGGTCAGAAAGTGTCTTTTGCCTCTTTTTGAATCCCCAGTACTTAGCACGGTGCCTGGTTGTGAAGGGGTAGAATCGTTCTGTCCTAATTGTGCCAATTGTAGGGTGGCATACCCTTCACGAGAATATTGAGATACCCAAAGAAAGAGGGGCCTGTGCCCGCTTGGTCATTAATATCAGGGTTAATCAGGTTAACTGGGGGAGTTTGCTCACAAGAGGCAGCAGCAGGGCAAAGCAACATCATGGATCCCCAAAACCTCCTTAGGTCAGGTCAGGTAATGTATAGAAGTAGAACAAAGAAGGCATTGTACCATGGATGACCTGTGGTCATGTGTAAAATTTCCCGTAAGAGAGTTGGAGCTCCTTTTTCTGTTTACATTTACTCAAGGTAGCTTACATTCTTTGTGGAAGTATAGGTCACGTTCTGACTGCCACAGGACACTGGTACATAATAGATGCTTAGTAAGTGTTCATTGATTGATTGATTAATAAATGCTTGTCAAATTGACTTAAATGGAATTGTATGATAATCAAGGAGAGACTTAGAAAAACATGATCTATACAAATTTAAGAAGAGAGCTATTGAGGTCATCAAACTAAATGCTCACCCTTACTTACTTTTAGATTCCAGGACATGTGCCATGACAAACTGCCAATATGGCTGTGAAGACAACAAAGATGAGGTACAGTGTCTATGTCCATCAGCTGGACTCCAACTGGGACCTAATGGAAGAGCCTGTATAGGTAGGTATATGAATAGGAATTCTCTCTCTTGATTTCTTTTTCTCTCCTTCTGTTAACTGATTGAGCAGCTAGATGGAGCAGTGGATAGAGGGCCAGGCCTGGAGTCAAAAAGATTCATCTTCCTGAGTTCAAATCTGGCCTCAGACACTGGGCAAGTCACTTAACCCTGTTTGCCTCAATTTCCTCATCTGTAAAATGAGCTGGAGAAGGAAATGGCAAACTGCTCCAGTATCTTTGCCAAGAAAACTCCAAATGGGTCATGAAGAGTAAGACATGACTGAAAAATGACTAAAACTGAGCTCATTCATTTGTCAAATATGAATCATGAGTATCAATAATTTCCTTGAACAGTTCTAAGGCCAGGAAGTGCAATATAACTTAGAGAAAAAAAAACATATATAAATGAGGAGGGGACAGAAGGAAGAAGTCCACACTTAGTTCCTGAAGTAAAAAAGGATGCTTTTCTTGAAGCAGGATGGTGTACCAGGAAGAGCACTGGAGGTAGAGGACCAGAGAACTGGGGTTCAAAGTCCCATACTTAGTCTGCATGACTTTCAACAAGCCATTTAACCTCAGTTTCCTTACAACGTCCATTTAACTTTAGGTATCAAACTCAAATCAAAAGGTGTATTTCAGTGAATTGTCTCCAAGCACTCTTAGTCTTAGAAGAAGAAATATGTTTATTGTCTGATGAAAATTCCACCTTACAACTGCAGGTGTAAAATCCTTACTTTTTGCAGGAGGTTGTATCTTGGAGTGTAGCACTGTGTACTGTTGGATTTGTGCTCAGAGAATCTAAATTTGAATTTCAACTCTACCTCTTATTACCTGTATAATCCTACACAAGTCACTCAATCTCTCTGGGTGTCACTTTCCTCATCCGTAAAATAAGGTTATTGGAAAAGATGGCTTCTGAGACCCCTTCCAGATCTATTCCAGATCCTATTCCAGATCCAGGTCCTAGATCTATTATCTTATGTCCCAAAAAATATGCAAATCATACTTATAAATACTGAGTTATCTTATATATACCAAAGAAGCTTGCTATAAATAGATCTAGAGCCAGAAAGAACTTCTCAAAGGCCATTTAATCTAAGCTAATTTGAGGAAACGGAGGATCAAGAAAGTTGAGTGACTTACTCAAGGAATGCAAAGAATTATTTTATGACGCAAACAAGTTGTTGTCATTGTTGAGTCATTTCAGTCATGTCCGATTTTTCATGACTCCATTTGGAATCTAAGCAACAACTGAACAGCAATAACAAAATGAGAATGAGAATACTTGACTGACCTACTACATAAGGTCACAACAAAAATAAATTATGCGATATAAGTCAAAGCATTTTTTAAACATGAAAGGGCTATAAAATGGACAGACTTGTTGAGTTTTACCTTCCTCATCTGTAAAATGAGATTTAAAATACCTGACCTTCTTCACAAGGTTACAATAAAGGTCAAATTATACAATATTTGTGAAAATGTTTATAAACTTGGTAGTACTATAAAACGTACAGGATTTTCACTAATATTATTATTTGTTTACTTTTCTGAAGCAGACAGGGAGTCCTCCTTTGAATGATCAAATGAAATAATATTTGTAAGGTATTTATCACAGTGCCTAGCACATAGTAGGCACTTAATACATATTTATTCTTTTCCCTCCTTCACAATGAAAGAACAAAAGAGTACAATTCTAATTTTAAAAACAAGTTTCTAATTATCCTTCTCTGCTAGAGGCTCCCTCCAACCACATAAAGAAATACCTAGAGAAATAACCAGCTTTGCTTTTTACCTGCTGAGTACCTGGAAGTATTGGTACTTCATCCAGAGCCTGGGATTTCATTGGTGTGGGAACTCTTTCTACATATTAGATCAGACAACAGTCTTAGAATCTTGGAGAATTGATTCACGCTCAGAAAGTTTCAATGATTTGAATATAGGACTGCAGTCCAATGAAATTGTTTATGCCGACTTATCAACTTTGTTTTTTCTTTTCCCTCTGGAACCACTACTTTCTTGGTCTAGATGTTGATGAATGCTCCTCTGGAAAAGTTCTCTGCCCCTACAATCGGAGATGTGTGAACACATTTGGGAGCTACTACTGCAAATGCCACATCGGTTTTGAACTGAAATACATCAATGGGCGATATGACTGTGTAGGTAAGATTTAGATGCATGGCTCCTTTTTTCCCTCCAAATTCATGGATCTTTCTTTCCAACCAGCTTCTCAGTAGCTACTTCAGAGTATTATACTCCAAGTTAAGACTCATTCAACAACAGATAAAGATGAAATTTAACAGCTTTCTGGGAACTATGGCTCATTTGCAGGTTCTAAAGACAGATATGTTGCATTTGAATATTGAGCAATGACTTCGGTATTTGAAGACCTGTAATGGCAGAATTCTCAAGATTATAGAACTTTTGAACTAAAAAGAACTTTAAACATCATTTAGTCAAATCACTTCATTGACAGATGAGGAAACTGAGGCCCACGGACATGAAATGGTGCAGCGGAAATAATATCAGATTTAGCTGCAGAAGAACTGGGTTTAAATTGTATCTTTGTGAAACACTTGTATGACACTAAACAAGTCATTTCACTTCTCTGGACCTCAGTTTGCTCATTTTTAAAATTAGTGATTAGGTCAGGAGACTTCAAAGATCCTTTCAGCTCTAAATCTATGATCTTATGCCTTTCCCTGTTTTAACAAAAATGGTTCTATGATCACCATGTATAGCAATAGAAAAGGAAAGAAGGGAAATAACGAGACTTGTTCCATTCTGATGAAAGAATTAAAGTAGTGCTTCTCTAACCTGGGACTTAACAGAATCCCTTTCATAATAGTTTGCAAAGGATTTAATTTTTTCAAGGCTTCCCTTGGGCAAAATGGTGACTAGTAGACTCCAGCTTCCCCATCTTCTCTTGTCTTTGCCTCATCCATTTTTACCTTTCTAGTACCTACACATACTCAATATTCTCCACTATCAAAACCTGCTCTCAGGAAAGGAATTTATATTAATCATCAATGCATTAGAATGAATTTAAATCATTTGCTTACTTCTCTCAGAATAATTAAATGTATAATGAAAATTTAATCTCCTGATAAGTGAATTACAGTCATTAATGAATAGGTGTGGGAGTTATTTTGGTGGAGGCAAAATGGACCTTCCCACTACCCTTAAGATCTCATTAATTAGTATAACTTCTTTATCCTGTTATCCAGTGTAACAAACTGGTTGTGTTGTTTCAGTTATTTTATAACAAGGAAAACTTGTGCGTGCAAGAAAAAAAATCAACTGATTGAGAAAAGGTCTGTTTCAGGGTTCTTAACCTTGGTCCCATGAGCATTTTTTGAAAAATATTTGTTACTTTTTCAATATAATGAGTTTCCTTTGTATTCCTATGTATTTTATTTTATGTATTTAAAAATATCATTCTAAGAAAGGGTCCATCAGCCATGATACCCAAAAGCTTAAGAACTCCTACTCTATGTGATGAGGATTCCCACAAGCTATACATATGAAGACCCATACTAGCAAAAATAGACTTAAAATCTACTTTAGTATATATATATGTATATATATATATAATATGTGTATATATATGCAAAAAAAAATCTTCCTTTCCTTTTTTACTTTTTAGAAGAAATTCATCGTTTCTCAATTTCTTCAACTGTAAAATACGGATGATAACAGCACCTACCTAGCAGGGTTGTTGTGAGGAGAAAATGAGATAACATTTGTAAAGTGCTTGGCACAGTGCCTTGCACATAGTAGGTGCTGAATAATTGCTTATTCCCTTCCTCTTCCCTTAGCTTATACTGTACATGGGATGACATAATAGTTGATCCCAGAACAGTACTTCATAATCTCAACAATTTTTCCTCAAATATTTTATTTACATGATTTTATTATATTCATTTTATATATGTTTATATCATATATTATGTGTCACATGTCATATTTTTATTTAATATTATATATTAAATAGTTTATTATATTTGTTTATATTATTTTAAATATTTTCAGTTTTAGAGGACAATTCAGAAAGTCCAATGCCTATTTAGAGACCTCTTATCAGACGTATGGACCAGATGACCTCCTGAAATGCCTTCCACCACTAAAATTCAATGATTCTATGTTAAATACTTTGAATAATGTTATTCTATTAATATGGTACAGGAGGGCCCCCAAAATGAGAATTTTCATTGGGTATTTTCAAAAGGAAACTAAATTTTTTGCTTTAAAAACTAATTAAGAAGATTGATATCTAAGTTCTCTTTGCAGACAAACCTCGAGGGTTTTAAGATTAAAAACAAAATGTTATTTTCTATGTGTGTGTATGTGTATGTGTGTTTGTGTTTGCAGGCATATGTAGATATAAAACCAGATGAGGTTTAGGAGTAGTGGTCCTATAACATAGTAGATGGGAACTTTCTAAACCATCCCTACTTTGTAGCTTCTTTGTAAGTCAGGACCAATCTGGACCTATATTTTGGTAGTTCTCTGTTTCCTGCCATCTTCCAAACAAATCTGAATTTGTGTCTATGTGGTCTAGTTAATAGTATTCAACAATGATGTAACCCCTTGTGAAATTCAAGCCTCTTAGCAGAAATTTTTTATATTTGTTTATTTGGGAGGAGGAAGGGGGAAAAATAAAACTCCTTTAATGTACTCCACTAGATTTAAAAAGCAAACAAACCTGAAAACTCAAGAGAATTATAAATTACAGTTTTATAATACCTTCAAAAATCAAAGGATGAAATTTCCTAGGATGGGGAATAGCCTTAGATACCCTAAATTTACCTTTGAAACTCCCAAAAGATAGCACTCTGGTTCATATTTCATGGAGATTTTAGTGTCATGCATAAAAACTCATGTCCTCAGTACTGGTGAGCCACTTGGAAGTTATTGAGAGCAAGGGGGAATAGAGTTAGTACACCTTGTTTTCAGTGAGTTTTCACTGAAATGTTGTCGTTGTGCTTGGCTTTTGATTTGCTTTGTTTTTGCAGATATAAATGAATGTGCTGCAAATACCCACAAGTGCAGCATTCATGCTGACTGCCTCAATACCCAAGGTGCTTTTAAGTGCAAATGTAGACAGGGCTATAAGGGCAATGGATTTCACTGCTCTGGTAAGTAAAATTTGATCATGTATTAACTGACAACTAATAGAAATGCAAAAAGGGGCATTTTTTCTTCCATCTGTTGTCCTCCCATTTCTCTCTACATATATTATACCATGATGTTATAGAATCAATAGAGCTAAAAGTGTCATTTAATTCCTCCGTGCTTCAGTTTTCTCATCTGTAAAATAAGAAAGTTGGATAAAACAGTCTATAAAGTCCCTTCCAACTCTAAATTTATGTTCCAGTGCTCCTTTTAATGGCTTGCAGGCTTCAATATCTGAAAAGGATCTTAAAGATTTGGTGGTGGTGTTGTTCAGTCATGTCAACACTTCAAGACTCCTTTTGGGGTTTTCTTGGCAAAGATACTGAAGTGATTTGCCATTTCCTTCTCTCGCTCATTTTACAGATGAGGGAACTGAGGCAAACTGGATTTAATGACTTGCCCAGAGTCACACTTCTAGTCAATGTCTGAGGCCAGATTTGAGCTCAGGAAGATGAGTCTTCCTGATTTCAGGCCTGACACTCTATCCACTGTGCCTTAAAGATTAGCTTAGTTCAATCCCTTTTTTTTTAAACAGGTAAGGAAACAGACTTGTCCAAGGTTCTGTAGCCAGTTATATATAGAATCATAGAATTTGAGAGTTGATAGGGACGACCTCAGTAGCCCTCTCGTCCAACCCATACACATAATGATCTCCACTATAATCAATCAATCAATAAACATTTATTAAACACCTACTGTGTTCCAGGCCCTGTGCTAAGTACTAGGGATACAAAGAAGCAAAAGATAATCCCCGCCCTCAATAGCTTATAATCAATCTAATGGGGAAGACAACATGCAAGCAAATAATACAAAGCAAACTTTATACAGGACAGGTAGGGGTGCAGAGGATAGAGCACTGGGCCTGGAGTCAGGAAGACTCACCTTCTTAAATTCAAATCCAGCCTCAGACACTTACTGTGTGACCCTGGGCAAGTCACTTAGCCCTGTTTGCCAAAGTTTCCTCATCTGTAAAATGAGCTGGAGAAGGAAATGGTAAACCACTTTAATATCTTTGCCAAGAAAACCCCAAATAGTGTCATGAAGAGTCAGACACAACTGAAATGACTGAACAACAATAAATTATATATAGGATGAATAGGAAATAATTAAGAGAGAGAAGGCACTAGAATTAAGAGGGGTTGGCAAAGGCTTCCTATAAAAGGTAGGATTTTAGTTGGGAAGTGATCCAACCTCTGCTTGAAGACCTCCAACGGGAGGGAACCCACCACCTCTTAAGGTAGCCAATTCCACTTTGGCCACTTTGTTGTTAGGAAATTTTTCTGACATGGAGCCTCAATTTGCCTCTTTGTAACTTTTATCTATTATTCCTGGTTTTGCTCTATGGGACCTCAGAGAACAATCCTAATCATCCCTCCACATGATAGCCCCTCATATACTTGAAGACAGATGTCATATATCCTTTGAGACTTATTTTCTTCAAATCAAATCTATCCAGTTGTTTCAACCAATCCTTGTGTGACATGAACTCAAGGCCATTCACCTTTTTGACTGGCCTCCTCTGGATACTCTCCAGCTATGAATATTAACAGAACTGAGTCTAGAACCTGAACCTTGTAACTCCCAGGGAAATATACTTACTATGATACCACACTGCCTCCCCAGCCCTCCACAGCTTGCCCTAGCTGAGTGAATGGCTATTTCCATAGATACTCCATGGCACCAAATTTGAGTATCCTCAATAATAGCTGTGTGGCCATTTTAATATCCAGGCAACCATTTATTTGATGAAGACATAGAAACCTTTGGCACTAGGAGTTTTGAAAATACAGTACAAAAACTGTATGTATAGTAAAGAGAAGTGCTGGTAAAAGCATTTAGGAAGTACTTTCATAAGTTTTGGAGATTATCAAATAGAATGCAAGTTTCTTAAAGATAGAGATTGTTTTGTTTGTGTCTTGGTATCCCAAGGGCCCAGCATAGTGACTTGAACTTGGTAGATGCCCAATAAATGTTTATTTGATTGAATTGCTCGGAGGGAAAAAAAACACAATTCAAGTCTCTTTCCTTTCATTTTACTCCTTCAAAAAGCAAATTGCTTTATTGTTACTCAAACAGATCCATCACTCTCAGGTTCTTAACTTGGGTAACTGTTTATACTCTATATTTTATGTCATGTAGTTTAGAGTTTTGTTAGGACCACAGAATGCAAAATTCAGAATGGGAAGGAACCTGAGAGATTTTTCCATTCAACTCTCATTTTACCGATAAGGGAACTATGATCCCCCCAAGTTAAGTGACTTACCCAAGATTACTATTAAGCTAAAACTAGAAGTCAGGCCTCCTAAGGTCTAGTTCTATCTCCAGCTTGCTTGGCTACTAATTCGAGAAAACTTAATTTGTTGATTTCATACAACAATAAACACATTTCTAGAGGGAAAAAAATAGTTCTTTGGTTATATGGCAAGTCACCAAAATTCTCACTCAAATTCACTACTCTACTGCGCTTAACTTTTCCATCTCACCTTCATACATTTAATCATTACCCATTCTTTCCATGAATTATTTTTTGGTCATCTCATAATCATCTAAGTGGTACAGACTCAGCTCTTACTTATAGCCCTTAGTCACTGAATGGGTGTGGCCTCAAACAAACTGAGATCTGGGCAAGACCTTAATTTAGAAAGGCCAAAGTCACCCACTGCATCCTAGGCCACTGCCAGTCATCTTGACCTTTATCTTGCTACTGGACTTTGATGACTCCGGAGGAGAGAGGGAGGCTCATATGACTTTGCATAGCTCTGCTTCACTAATATACAATTCATTCACAAGTCAAGACATCACCCTCATGATGTCATCAATCCTCTTCAAGAACAAAGGACAAACAACAATGGTGGTGTAGTGGTCAGAGCACAAAAACTGCACTCAGAAGACCTGGATTTGAATCCTGGTTCAGGTGCTGCCCCTTGTGTGACCCTAGGCGATTCACTTGATCTCTCTCAGCCTCAGTTTCCTCATCTATAAAACTGGAATGATAATAGCACTTACCGCACAAGGTTGTTGTGAAGATCAAATGAGTTAGTATGAAAAACTACTTTGCAAACTTGAATTGCACTATTTAAATGCTATCTATTATTATTATCATACTACATTAACAGAAAAAACCTATCCTTCAGGCCAGAGTCTTCAGTACTTAACAAAACTTTCCTTGTTTTCATTCCCTATGAATTAAAGTGCCATGATTCTTAAGAAAACTTATTTCCTCCTAAGAAAGGTCATACCCTCACTTCAAAGAATGATTGGCAAAATGCCATACTTAGGTGCATAAAAGTCATCTAAATAAAAAATGGGGAAGATTAGATCCAGTTAGTTTTCAGTGTTTTAAAATAGACTATGAACATGAGAGTAGCTATTGGAATGATGCCATTTATTTATATAACATCTCATTTCCACAAAGTTTAAAGTGCTTTTTCCAAAGTTGATCTTTACCCTTTAGATATAGGCATAATCCTGGGCCAGAAAGAAAATAGAGGCACAGAGAATTTGCCTTTTTCATGACCAGTGTTCCCACAATGCCTTTAAATAAAGCCACATCAAAATCTTACAGATTTAGAGCAAGAGACCTCAGAGATCTAGTGTACCCTCCTCACTTTACAGATGAGGAAACTGAGTCCCACAGAGCTAAAGTGACTTTTTCAAAGTCAAGCAACTATGAGTAGCAGCCCAAGTTCTCCTCAGTTAATATTCTTCGTTACAATATAGGTGTTTGTTTATACACTCTCTTTAATTTAGTTCTGAGTAGAGAAGCATCTCACCTTAAGGAAACAAAAATTTTAAAGTCAATGTGAAGATAATCTTCATTTTAGCAAACTTTTCTTTACAGAATGGTAAGTGCAAGTTTTCTTTCAATAATCAGCTAACCTAGTTCAATTTTTAAAACATACAATACATAAAAATTCCATTTAATTTATTTATAATTATAATTAATTTATATATAAATGTATGTAATACGTACTATGTAAATACATCATTTATGTTATGTGTTACATATAAAATGAATATAAATATTATAGCTAGATAGATAGTTTGAAGGTTTACAGTGCTGCCTACCTAGTTTATCTCATTTTATCCACACAATAATCCTGTGAGGTAAGTTAATACAAACATCATTTCCCCAGTTTTACCAATGAAGAAACTGAGGCTAAGAAAAGCAAAGTGATTTGTCTAAGGGCCATATGACTAATAAACTTAAGAGCCAGCTATAGATTCAGGTTCTTCAATTCAATTCCAAAGTACCTTCCATTATACCTTCCTATTCTTAAATAACTCGTATGTAAGTTTGTGTTGACATAAAAACTTCAAGATACATAATTTCTAGTTAATTAATCATTCTATTAATTATGCTAGTGAATAATCAATAAAAAGGATGGTCATTTGTTTCTCTTTAACCAAAGACCCCTTGTGCAACCCACTCAACACTTATATGCCCTTGGAAGAGTGGTTGTTTCTAAAGGTGGAAATCAATTCTGATCGGTTAACAAGTAATGAAACAATGAATATGATAATGAGAGGTGGGTTTATTCTAATAAGAGTCTGGGGGACGTGACTCTGATCACTCAGTCATAGACAAAGAGATTCATCTATGCCCATACCACCTCATCTAGGGTAATCTAGACTAAAGGTGAAATCCACTTCTAACCAGACCTGTCTAAAACACAATGGGCTGGAATCCACCAATTCACCTAAACTAGAATTGCTTTATCTTTTGATCAGATCTGTTTTCCTGGTTTCACCCAAGATTTCATCTCATAATCAGCCCTGCACTTCAAAGGTTGTCTGAATAGCCTAGGGGGGTTGATTTCTGAATGATGAAATAGAACCTTTATCTTAATTCAATAATTTGTTATTAATATAAGAGAGAAATAATCATTTCTCTCAGTGTCCAACTATTTTCAAGGATAGCCTGTGGCATACAGCAAGGCATTTAGAAACTATTTTTCCCCAT